AGTACACTGTAAAAAAAAAGGTAAAATGTACGTTAAAATTCGGGCAGCTGTGGTTGCCAGAACTTGACCGTTAAAAGTATAGTAAAATAAATTACAAATTACAGTTTGTTGGCATAGACGTTACAGTCAACAATTGCTTATGGTAAATAACAATGGTAAAAAGAGTTAGCTAGCGTTAGCTAACGTCATGTTCAACAGAAAACCTCTAACGTGTATTACATTGACGATTTTAAACAAAACGTAACTCTCTCAACTTGTAAGATAACGTTAAGTTAACTTACACTTAAATAACGACATCACGTTTTTCAGTGTCAACACAAACTGCAGAAAACAGTAGAGAGAGCTGTCAGAGCGGTTCGTCTCAGAAGAGCAGCCGCTGGGCGGAGTCACAGAAACGCTCAACTGATCTTCATTCCCGAGAGTCCCGACCGTTAGCGCCAGTCAAAACAATGTTTTATACCGCTTTGTTTCAACTACTGCTGTCTCGCCGTTCCTCTGTGTCGCTATATGTCCTTCTGTCTGTCTGTCTGTCTGTCTGTCTGTCTGTCTGTCTGTCTGTCTGTCTGTCTGTCTGTCTGTCTGTGTCTCTTTCGCTCTCTTTCTCTCTCTCTCTCTCTCTCTCTCTCTCTGTCTATGTCTCTCTCTCTATTTATTTAGCTAAAATGGTAATCCAACTTCACCAGCTAACATAATGAGACCTTGCTGGTGTACCAGCTTCACCAGCAATAGAGTTAATTAGACACAATTAACACTTATAGTTTAATGTCTTGTTACGTAAGAATAGATCATATTTGTTAAGTGTTATTATGGGAAAATTACTATTCTTGTGGTACTACTGCCTTATTAGGCCCATATGGAGCTGAGCATATTAAGACCAAAACTCATGTACAACAACTTCCTTACTTGCAATAAATAAGCACTAATTAGAGGGTTATTGAGGAAAAACTCTCAACTAATGGCTTATTACTTGTAGAATATGGTCATGTAGAATAAGGCATTAATAAGTGTTTTATAAGGACTAATAAAGAGCCAATATACTGCTAATATGCATGTTAATTAACAACTAGTTGGTGCTGCACTTCTCAGAGGCTGAGTTACATGTCCCGCTGCCTCCTGGTGCTGCAGCCATTTCATGAAGTGAATGAGGTTTTCCTTCTATAAAACCTATATTTGTCCTGAGAAAAAAGTCAGAATTCTGAGATTAAAGTCAGAATTCTGACTTGTTTCTCCAAAAAAAAAAAAAATGTCACAGCCCCCAAAAATGTTTTTCATGTGGCCCTAATCCTCTTCCACACGTGCACACTTCTATCAAACATATTGACACACTGTTCAGTGTACCCAGTTACACACAGCTGAGCCCCTTTTTAGTGTTGTCATCAGCTCCTCTCTCATTCTCTTGCTCTTTCCCTCACACACATTCACAGACTCTCACACTGACACGTGCACCCGTAGAACACCTGTCGGGCACGGCCCGCTCCAGGACACCTTCGAGTCATGAGCTCATCGGAAAAGCAATTAAAGGCAGCGTAGGCCCTGCACGCTGGCGTAATGTTTTGTTTTGCTACTTGGCTTCAAAATTAACCAAACCTGTCAGAAGTCATCTGGCTGACGCGGGCTGGCTATATTTATTTACTTTCTGTTGGAGAAGCTGGTCTCAGGGTCCCAGCGCTGCCTCACGTCCAACAATGAAGCGATTCTGAGGGGGCTCAAACATGAATCCTCCCCCTCAGTCTACCTGGGGGGTGGATGGTGAGTCTCCCCCACCTCCCTTTGCCTGTCTGTAACTCTGATGGTGGGGTCATGGCCCTTTAGTTGGGAGGTTGCGCCCTCTGTAACCCCAATCAGGGTTTTGGTCTCCACTGTGGGACGTGGTTTTTTAACTTGCACTGAACCGACCGCTCCCAGTTTATTGAATTTCATGCTTGTAGTGACTGAACAAAAGCAGATTTTGCATTTGAAAATGTCAATGTATAAATTATGTCACCTGATAAAAAGACAATATGAAGACAGAAATATGTGTGGCTGATAGATTACTGGGGCTGTTGGCCCAGTACATAGGAGGCTAAAGAACCTAGACAGGGCTTAAAGGTTAGAGGCCTCCACTCAGTCTGGTCTAATGCTGTAGCCTCAGGCTGTGAGCAGCCTGATGTCAGACAGCCGTAAAACAACACCAGCAGCCCTGTGCTCTCTTTTAACTCCACAGGTCTTAGAAAAAAAAACACCTCTGACATTAATAGGTCCACTGTGGGTGAGTCAAGGTAAGTGTGTCTTCACATATGTCTGCACGGACATTCTGCGCCTTTGTGTATTTTCAAAGTCTGGGCCACTGAGAAGTTTTTTGGTGTTTTCTCGAGGAATAATTTAGGAAGTAAGAAAAACACCCCTGTTATCATTGTCATCACTTTCTGTAATTGCCCATATGCCACACTGTTAGAGAAGAAAAAACAACAACATTTAGCCTGCTGCCGAGGTCGCCGTAGCATGCCGGGCTGTTTCATGGTGCTGCATGCTTCAAAGGAGGTGTCACACTCGGACAGTTATGTCAACACATTAATGAAACAAAACACATGCATGCGTGCACGGTAAAGCCTTGTTCTTCAAAGCCTCATAAGCCAGGTCAACACATATTTAGTTTCTATGTCACTGTCAAATTGGCAGAGAGAGACACAGAGAAAAGATTGTTTGCTCTGTTAATTTCAGCAAGAGAGCTTTCTGAGTGGGGTTGTGATGTATCAAAATGGTCATGGCTGTCATTTGCAGAAGCCGAACAGATGTTAAACACAGCCACAATAAGATGACAGCTGCTGGCATCAAACTGTAAACACTGCTGATACAATGCCACTTGCTTCAGCTCAGTCAGTTATTTAGACATCCAACAGTCTGGACTTGAATACTCTCAAAACACATCAGCTGATGATAAGATATTTTGGTTATAATGGAATCTTACATTTTGTATTTGTTTGTGGCAATGACACAGTGTTCTGCTCTGGTCCTGCAGAGGATTCCTTTTCTATGAACACTTTCTATTTTCTTTGAGACTGTTCCATAGTAAGTATAAAATGAATAAAATAACTGGTGGCAGTGTCACTTGCCTTAACGTGCATTATGTGTAACCAGCTCTGCTTGACATAGCTATTTGCAATTAGCCATTTTATATATTTTAAATATCTCTGTAATATGTTTTTTAAATAAACCATCCATCTAGTAAGTAATATGATTTATTATGATATGACTCATTTCTGCTGAATGTGCTTTGTCATGCTCAGTGCATCCCATAGACCGCAATTTAGGGTCAGTTTATTGAATACATCTTAGTTACTCAGCCCATTCCCAGCCTTTTGGGGCCTATACTGCTCAAGCTGTTCGGCTATGATGAAACCACTTGAAGTCAGGCCCCAGCACACAGACACAGCCAAAGCCTATTAAGCAGCCACACTGTGGTATATGAGTTCAAGCCACAGGGCTGAGGTTGTGATTCTTCATCGGGAGGAGGGTTAAAGAGGTGGATGTAGGATGACAAGGAAGGGTGGAGGTATGGTTTCAGAAGGAAGGGGAAAAAGGGGTGAAAGGGGAAAAAGCGGGGGCAATGAAGGATACAAGTATGAGGAGACAGTTTGTGTTGGAGAGGTATACATGAAGGCTGAATTAAGTAAGTGAGTGTTTTAGAACCAAATTGAAATAAGCGGGTACAAATACCAGTATGGCTGTTGTTAGGGACACAGTGAAAAGTGGTGATGGATAGGGAGGTAGGAGTAATTGGAATAAAGGAAGAAATGTGTCAGTTTGACTTGATCCAATTAAAACGTTTTTTTGCCCGTAAATACATTTGTTCCAGAAAGAACACATACACATTTACTTGATATTACTAATACTCACACAAGCACATTCACAGGCCACAAATCGCTGAACATTTTAAAGTGGAGCAAATTAGAGCTTTAATTGTAGTGTTCACAGGGAATAATGGAGGGAGCAACTCCTGCCAAGCGTGTGTGTGTGTGTGTGTGTGTGTGTGTGTGTGTGTGTGTGTGTGTGTGTGTGTGTGTGTGTGTGTGTGTGTGTGTGTGTGTGTGTGTGTGTGTGTGTGTGTGTGTGTGTGTGTGTGTGTGTGTGTGTGTGTGTGTGTGTGTGTGTGTGTGTGTGTGTGTGTGTGTGTACGTGTGTGTGCATGTGTGTCTCCATGTTATGCAAACTCTTAAATGTGAGGCAAACCAACAAGCAATCAGGCTTTGTCGGAGGTGAAATGCACACACATATTTACACTTACACACTTTAGCACTTTGCCTCAGGGCCTGAAACAGAAGACCGGGGTTCTGTCCAAAGCTCCATTTAACTGCTGAAAGTCCTTCTAGAGCTGAAACATCCTCCTATCGTCATGCTGGGACATTCCACGGCACGCCAGAGACCCTGCGCTAATCCTGCCGGCATGGGAATCATTATTGATAGGATCCTAATGCATTACCTCAGGGCCCGCTTATTGTTGGTAAAGATTATTATTTAAGAGTAAACCAAAACCCAGAGAAAGGCTCGAGTTTCATAGAAATGTATCAAAAGAAAATGTTATTCTTGGCTTAGTGTGACTCAACTTCGAACGGCGCCATTGAAACAAACTGTGCTCCTTGCTTTGCTCCATCAAGCAGGCTGCATACCCAGCAGCAGGTCATGAGGACTGTCAACTGCTCGGGAGAGGAAGAGGTTTCCCCTTAGTCACTTTATTTAGTTGGTTATTACCTTCAGTTGATTCAGTGAGAAAATAACATCAACGCTTTAACCAAAAGAAAACAACCCATTAAGTTTCAACGGCCATGTTGCTTCCACATTACGACTTAAAGCTTATAATCACACCCACAACTATTCCAACTGAATGAATGGGACCATCAGCAGAGAATGTGAATGCATCGTTGGCCTTGGCTGACGTATCTCCGAATGTCATTGTAGTCTGTTTGTTTTCCACAGTTCTGTTATTACATCTCTGATCTGTTGTTTTTCTCTGTGTTGTCTAGGTGCAGTCCTGCTGGTCAGTGTCCAGGGCATATCTGTAAATGTGGACCCAGTTTTCTGCACATGGCTGTTGTACCAACCTCACAGAGGGAGCAGCATGCAGCAGGTACCTGATCCTCATGTTCCCAGGCTTAATGTCAACATGTTTTACTGTTGATGTTCCACGTGTTTAACTTGAACATGTCATTTGTATTAATAGAGTACCTGCAGCATATTATACTGTTGCACTGATTCTTAGCAGCTCTGGAAAAGAGCCTGAAGGGAATGTAAATGTCCCTCCCGCTCCATTGCTTTCCCTGCTACCTTTTTTTTCAATGTGCTCTGCTCCCTGTCTTCCATCCACTCTCTCTATATTTATTTGACAGGGGTCATGGTGATGGTTATGGACATTGAATGCTCTGTGCCTACACTACACACACTACATACACACATGCAGACATGCTTAGTTTGATTGCCTGGGATAAAGCACAGGTTCACCCCATAAAGGCACATACATTTATAGTACATGAAAGTATCATATTGTAATACTTTAAAAGTAGTTTTTTTCAACAACTTGCTATGCTTCATGCCTCCTGCTGTTTGGAACGGCTGTCAGCATACATGTGTGTGTGACGGACAAACAGAGAGGGAGTTAATTGCACCAACTCCTTACTCTTGAGCTTATTGCTGTACAGGGGTAAACAGATGTTATGAGTTGAACTGCTGCCAGTGTGAAGGATACACAACACTGCTGTGTGTGTGTGTGTGTGTGTGTGTGTGTGTGTGTGTGTGTGTGTGTGTGTGTGTGTGTGTGTGTGTGTGTGTGTGTGTGTGTGTGTGTGTGTGTGTGTGTGTGTGTGTGTGTGTGTGTGTGTGTGTGTGTGTGTGTGTGTGTGTGTGTGTGTGTGTGTGAGCTCAGCTGCCTGTCAGGGCCGCTTCTCAAGGCTCTGCTGGTTTAGACAAGTCCTTCAGCTAGAGGCCACACATCAGCCTGTGAAGGACAGAGGAGAGGACCATGACCTGTTGGACCAGGAAAAGATGAGCAACAAGGAACTCAGGAAAGATGGACAAGGGAAGAAGGATGTGTGTGTCAAGCATCAGAGAGATGTAGCGTCACAAAAACCTGGAATTGGGATAAAGAACGAAGAGATTTAAAGTCAAGGGAGACAACATAAAAGCAAGACAGCGTTGAGAAGGTGCAGAGGAACGAAAGGAAAGTTAATATAAATGTCAACTGAAACTACCAGAGCAGGATACACAGGTAGGAAACCAATCAGAGAAGCAGAGGGAGCTTGATGGGGAAACGGGTAATGAAAAGAAAAGAGAATTAGAGGAAAATAGAATTGGAACCAAACACTTGCTTTGGCTGTCTTCACCCCCCTCAGTGTGTGTGGTAGAAGAAACATACCATGTCATCCGTCAGGAATGAGTTGTTGTCATCGGGTAAGCTACCTATGGAGCATAGAATATAAAAAATGTAGCTAAGCATATTTTCCATGAAGTGTACAAACTGAATTATATATTATTGTGTCTTCAAGCTATTTTCAAGCTGTTTTAGTGTGAATAATATTGTATTCTCTTTGGTTGGTAAACACTCCAATATTGTGTTTATACTATGGGTGTAAACAAGAAGTCTTTCTAATTAAAATCAACCTCGTCTTTGCAGATCTTTACCAGACTTTAATGACATGTTCAAGACAAATGTAAGTTTAGGCAACTAATGTACTTGGCTACAGTTTACAATTCACCCTATGTTGCAAGTTGCAAGAACCTTGATGATTTGGCATTATTCCTCTAGCCAGTAGTTTGAAAAACATGATGTCATTTTGGAACCCATTTTAAATCTAACCACAACCAGCCTTGGGTCCCGACCCAGTAATTCAAAGACAACTGCATCTTTCCGTGTGTGTGTGTGTGTGTGTGTGTGTGTGTGTGTGTGTGTGTGTGTGTGTGTGTGTGTGTGTGTGTGTGTGTGTGTGTGTGTGTGTGTGTGTGTGTGTGTGTGTGTGTGTGTGTGTGTGTGTGTGTGTGTGTGTGTGTGTGTGTGTGTGTGTGTGTGTGTGTGTGTGTGTGTGTGTGTGTGTGTGTGTGTGTCCTGCCAGCAGCATGGGAGACTGCTCACTAGCCTTGTTGGTGTTGGAGGCCTCTGTTGTGTTCCACTGCATTTCATTTATTTTCCTCCTTTCCTCCCTCCCCTGTTGTGCCTTGCATTGCATCTTCTGGTTAACCCAGATCTTTGATGCTGTCTAGTTTTATCTACAGGTCATGGTCATACTATATTACTTGATCAATCCATAACAACATGTGTGCTCTGTCTCCTAATAACATGCTCTTTTTAAAAGACTGAATATTTGCAGATTCAATGGAAATGCAGTCATATGAGAGACCACAACATAATACCTTTCCCATGAACTCATACTGTCGGTGGTCACACATGCTTTGATGTCATTGCAGGCTCCAGGTTTAGTTCCTTTGGCCAAGAGGAGAGAGGATGAGGTGACGTTGGGGAGTGCCCCCCCCCCCCGAACTACCCCCCAACCAGGCCTCTGAATACGCCAGCAGCCCTGTCAAAACTAAAACAGTGACAGGTAGGTTTACCAACCGTAAGCTGTGCCATGGGTGTACTGTTCAAGATATTGCTCTGACATTGGTCTTCATAGCGTTACACTAACTCTGATGAAGTGCATCAAAGAGGTTTACACACATAAAGGGAACAGATCTTCTCTCAGTGTGATGTAAGTAAGAATTAGTATACAAATGGAAACTGCAAAGACATTTACTTTTCCCTTGCTATTTGGAATAACTACCACTGTTTCTATGTTTGAGGATATGGTCTGCCAAAAGTGGAATAACAACATTTCACAACATTTGTATCTTCTTTCTATGCAAGAAATCATGTTTTTATTATTATTACATTACACACGACAGCTCGTTGACACCTGAGTGAACCCGTTTCTCAGAGGACATCACATATTCTGTTTTCCTCTGCTGCAAGTAGAACTGTGAGCTCTGGATGCCCAGAATAGATGAGTGGCTTGGCTGTGCGGAGCCTGCCTCCATGCCAGTTTTCCGCTTTCTAGGGCCCCCCTGTTCAGAACAAACACGTTAAGGGCGCACACACTACTTCACAGAATACATGTTCATATCAGGACGCATATACATTTAGACACAATCATACAGGCAAGCAGCGTTATACATATACTGTACATATACACACTTGCACACAGACATTCTCCCACACTAATGTAGCATTGCTGTGGTCCTTCCTTTGAATTCACTAGAACTCCTACTTTTCTTAGTAGGAACTCTGAACCCTTTGACTGAAGATGGACGGAAAGGAAAAACAAAGCGAAGGAGGAGGAATTGATTGAGGATAGATACATTTCAGGATCTCGTCACAGATTTGGATTTTTGCTTTAGTGTGAGATGAACACAGAACAAACTAACCGTATCCATAAGCTTTTGAAGTATCGTTGATGTTTGCAGGACAGGTGAAAGACAAATATGGCTACTGACAATTTATCTCCTGCATCAATAAGGTACACAAACATTTTTTTTGTATCAGTGTGATGAATCTGTTTAGTGGACCTCAGGGAGAGTTATGTGAAAAAATACCAAGCAAACACACACACTGTACAAATGTATTCTTCTGGAGTAGCCAGTCTGTTAAGGAGCTGTCCTTGACACAACACAGAGCCTGACTGACTGCAGAAATGGTTTTCATTGAATGCTCATGTGGTGTATTTATGTGCCTAATAGCCCAGCCCTTCCCTTCCCTATCGTGTTCCCCTATAGATATTTAATTAATGTGATCTAATGGAACTTCTTGGCTAGCTTTTTGTAACTGAATTAGTTTCAAGTAAAAATAAGAATGAAATATGTAAAGAAGGTCTTCCCAGCCTCTACTGTTTGACTCTCGCAGTGTTTAGGCTCCAGGTCTTCTCCACACATTTAAACAACATTTGAAACATCATTTGCCAAAGCATCGCAGTGAACAGTCAGGGGAAATAAGCAAGTGGTTGTTTTTTCTTTCTTTTTTCTCCATGAGAAATGTGTTCCCAGCAGCAGTAATGAATCCCTGTTTTGGGTGAAGTCATCCTGTAGCTGTAAATAACATTTTGCGTCTATGACGTCCCCCCCCCCCCCCTGTCAAGTGTTTTGAAATGCTCCTTTGACATTTCAGAGTCTAAGAAAGGCCATTAGGGTTCCATCTCTGCTTGCTTTACAAGCTCACAGCTGAAAGGTTGTGCCGCCTCTTCCTCCTGGTTTCCCCTATGTTCCTTGTTTCATTCAAAATCTGCACTAATGTCTTTTCCATAGCGCAGCATCTTTGCTTATTCACGTCTCTACAGTATATTCTCTCTCATGAGGGGTCTTCAGTAAGCATTCACCTTGGCTCCAACACTAAACACATAGCTGAATCAGACTGCAGCTTCTCAGCAGCACTCAACTTAATATAGTACACTGGCTGTTAATGTGCATCTCAGTGACTGCTCCTCTGCCTCTTAACTTCTTTGTAAAGCGGCCTATCTGTGTGGGTAGCTGTCTGTTTGTCTTTCCACGTTGAACCTTTTTTTTATCCCATGGTGTTTTTTCTCTCTTAGTCATGCTCTCCGCAGTGTTGTCTCTGTCTAACGAATAGGTGTTTGTAGATGACTGAAAAAAGTCCTTTTTCTGATCCGAATATTTATCCGAAGTGGTTAGTAACTATGTGCTGATAGTGTATTTCGTTGAAATCTAACCCTCACTCCAAGGCTTTATGTTGGAATTCCACTTGCAGTGACTTGAATGACCAGTGTCTTCTCTGGAAATTGCTGCAATGTTACAGGAGTAGATCTAATGAAAAGTTACACATTGTTTCCGCGAGCAATCAGAAAAGAAAAAAGGGCAGAGGCATGCAGCCCTTTTGGTTTTAATCATGGTGAAACAATAAGCCTCCCTGCAGTCAGATCATCACTGAGGCTCAACAACACTACAGAGGAGGACTTGCAGCAAAGCAAGTATTGTATTTCCTTCCACACCACCTTGTTACATAACAATACATCCTTCCTGCAATTAACAATTGTGTTACTTTGTATGTGAAGATGTCTTCACCCTTCGAATGGGCCAATAATGAAGAAAGTTATCATCTTTTTTGGTTTTGGGTTGTGGTGATAATTCAAACACTTCTATAAATTCATACAAATCCTGTTCCACCTCCATGTTAATTCTTCATATTCCCGAGGCTTTGCTGGTCACAGTGCGATAATACTCAATACATAGAAACCTGATATATGGAGATATCAGGTTTCTGTGAGCGCCCCCAGTCACCTCGTGAGAAGAGTTGCTGACATCTAACATGTTATGATTGGAATTAGGCGCTCTAAAGATGATTTATGAATTGCTTTTCCATGTGCAGCACATCGTGAATGAGGATCTGGATGTTTAAAGAGGACAGGAGCTCACTCTGGATTAGCTGTTGTGTTGAACACGGTCAGCCCTTAGATCCACCTCAGTTATTAGTTATTCATGTTTGCCTGTAGTGTGTATACGTTGTTGACTCTCAGCTGGACATAAAACTGTCTCCTGCTTTTTTATTGTCTTCAGGTTGCATTTCATCTTTAAAATGATTTATACGCAGCTGTTATCTGATGGATTTTTCAGAATCTATTATTAAGTGCTGCATGTTTACCCCTGGACATGTGTAGCTTGAATCAATAGGCAATAATAATTGACTACAGTTTAAGTTGATGTGACTATATTTGAGAAACCATCATTGTGTCATGATGGACCTTAATCCCAGCAGCAATGAAGGAACAAGGTTTTCAAGCAAAATAATAATTAATTAATAATGAAATGTTTCTTTTTTTTTGCTAAATCATCATTTGGCATTTTCCTGAAACGCTCCAAAGTGCTTTTTTTTTATTAACATTTCTTCAAATAAATGTCCAGGTTTATTACGTGGCTGATTTAAGTTGCAGGGTTATTTCCGGTATATCATCTGTCAAGCGACTTTTAGGGGGTTGTAATCACTGCAGCTGAAGTTTTATTTTCAGTCTTCAGTCATGTATTTAGATAAACAGATGAGAGATATGCAAGTTGTTTGCCAGTTGGAGTCAACATGTCTTTGAACCGGCCCGAGGAATAAAGACGTCAGACTGGCAAACAGCCGCCCTGACTGCCACTGTCCCTTCAGCTTCAGGAGACATCACCAGGTTCTCATAGGAACCCTTACATTGGTATTTTGTTGACAATGAATCAACCTTGGGTGTATTACCTAAATACTTAGTAATGTTTGTATTTGGTCACAGTCCAGGATGCTCTCGTGAAGCTTTCCCTTTTGTCGTTTGTAAAGAGCTGCTGATTTTAAATATGCCGCAAATTAAGTATTCTAAACTACTTCATTATCCAACAACAATTATAATCCCAACTGCTTCTAAAATGCTGATGGATCCTTTAAAATAGTGTGTGCATTCTTCCAGAGATTGTTATAGAAAACTATTCATATTGCACAATACTGTTCCAACTTTCGCCCTCCTGCCGTGGTCAGTGATGATCTGAAGCCCACAGCGTCTATTCCCATCATGAACTACATACAACTCCCATTAGCTGGTTATATGGAGTATGGATATAGAGCTGTGTTTTGTTCTGCCAGATTATAAATTGGCCAAAGCCGTCTCTTTCTGTGCCTATTGATTATCAAAGTTTTCCACTGGAGCTATTGATTTCCCCATAGAAATTACCTTGGGGAAATACAGAATAAATCATAATCCACATGAAGAAAATCATTTTCAGAGCTTTTAGCAGTTCAAAGCCTCCTCAGAACAATTGCAATAGCTAGATGTCCCTGCTTCCAATTGGCCATTTGAGCACATGCCTGGCACTTTTATGATGTAAAGAGAGTGTTATGTTGTTTTGTAACCACACTCAGCCTAGCTACAGTTTCGTCGTAATCAAGGGGGACTTTCCTGCAGGCATTTGTAAGGTGCCTGTTAATGTGTATGCAAATGTTCAGAGACACACAGAGCCAGTTCATTGCAAATCATTTCCCCAGAAAGCACTGAGGGCAAGGTGATATCATACTGGGGCTGTGGGGCTGCCCAGCTCTGTCCCAGAACCCATATACACTCAACTCCATTTGGCAACAGAATATTTGACTCTGTCTATTCCTTTCTGGCTTTGGTCAATCCTCATGTTAAGTACGTATACAGGGAACATGTTGCAGGACACCGCTGCCTCTCAGAACCAACATTGGCTGAAGTGACCGAAGCATGTTCCGCATCACATGGTCACATATATTACATTTATTTTTATGTTAAAAAAGTCTGCAATTAAGATTGGCTCTCTTTCACATAAGAAATCTACATTATTTGTGTATAGTTTTGTTTGTTATAATGCTATAAACTGGACACATACTATGCATTTTTATTTGCCCATTTTTTTGTGTTCAACATTTATATAATTCTATGGCTTATATTGATTTTTATATTGGTAATATTTATTTATTTTTGTATGGTCTGACTTAATTATCTGCTGGATAAACTAGAGGCTGATGTTTTTGACTAGATTATAAACAAGTCAACACAAGATCATTGAACACACATCAGGG